TATAGTCAGTCAGTGGTTTGGGTTGTCTTAATATTCCACAGATCCACAAGGATATTTCTCAGCTGTTTTTACTTAACACAAATTATTAAACATTAATTTGTGACTAATCTCTTTCCTAATTATACTGTAAGCACAATTTCTGTATTTATTTATTTAGCATTGGGAGGTTAGTGGAGAAAAAAATAGCCCTCTACCTAGACGGAGAAAAGCCATGTGTAGGCAATTTGTTTGTTTGTTTGTTTGTTTGAGTTGAAAAATAATAGCAGTGGGAATTAGATTTGGAATTATTCACTCCATTACAAATTAGTTAAATAGTCATGGATTCTGACCATATCCTTGCTGCCCACACAAGAATTCTAAAGCATTTTGTCTATTATGCTTTAAAATATAGGCATCAAATGTTTTGAATGCCAGCTAATAAGTTCTCCTCTATGTGCTTGCCAGGTTCCACTAGATTGCATGCTAATGCTTGAGATTCTTTGACCTTCTTAATGATAAAAAGGGTTTTAAGTACACAGATAAACAGTGGACGAGGGTTGCTCAACCTCATATCTACAGTCCTTGCAAAGATCTAGCTGCACAAGGCTCTACCCTTTCCTCTCCTTTATTTCAACATGAGGGTTTTTATATATGGCTGTTGTTCAAAGACTGATTCAGCACTCTCAACAAGAGAGCAAATCTGCAGATCCTCTTTGAATTCCACTTTTTCTTGCTCTCGGCATTCTTTCAAACAACCTGGATAGTAAATAAGCCTACCCTGCTGTTTTGTAACAGTGCTTTTGCTTTTGCTGTTAAAATGCGTGAAGCAAAATAGGTTTATTTTTCCAAGTCAATTATTATTTTGAAATATGCTTACATTTGATGTGTATAATACTTGTAATGTATGGTTTCATTATGAGTATCCTGGGTGTGCTAAATAGGACTAAAATTATTTTGTTTTAGCAAAGAACCAGACTAAGACCTCTCCTTGGATATTTAAGGGAAAGCATGAGGTTCCAAAGATGTGGTGGGGAAGAGAGTAGGATTAAACCTGACCCCCCCCCCCCCAGCCACAATGTCCTTTCTGCATACCCATCTCTTCATTCCCAGATCTCACATATTGAGCAGGGAGGGCTAAAGAGGAGTTCTTTGTGGTTTTGAATAACTGATATACATCTTAAAGGAGGAGAAAAAGTTATTTTGCTATCCAAAATTGCATACCTCTTTCCATCTTTTCTGCACCCAGAGCAGAAGAACATATGAATATCTATAATTTTCCTGAGATGGCTGGAAGAGCATTTATTTTTCTTTAGCTTAAAAATGGAAGCAAAAGAAATCCATGGTGACATGGTTATTTCTGTTAACTTTCTAGAGGTTTTACTGAGGTTTTTTTTTTTAAAAAAAAATAATAATTACGGTCTGTCTTATTTCACTAGTTGGTTTAAGAGTCTGGATCATTAATAATTCTTCATCAGCAAGATAAAATATTTTCTTTTTATTACAAAGCGAGGGAAACCTAATACTCTGTTGAAGAACAAATATAGACAATGTGATGCAAATGTCTATCTTAAGGGTCTTGCCTTCTCATGGAATAGCTAGCCTAGTGAGGATGGCCGGTCTTAACACAGTCATATAGTGAAAGATAAACTTAAGTTCAGCTGTGTAGGGAGACTATTGGGCATCCAGAAAGATATTCATAAGCCCCTTGCTTTCTTTACTGTCATATTATCTGTCTGGTCTAATGAGTAACTCTTAAGTTGGAAATGTTTAAGTAAGCATCTATTTACAGGTAACTAGGAGTTGGAAGAAAAGCGTAGTTTGACTGTCCCACAAGCTATTATGAGAAAATATGCATCAGATGAAGACAATGGACAAAATGATTTTTTTTCTCTTGTCTGTAATCAGACCTATTGCATCAATTGCTGTGCAACATAGTAGAAAAAGATTCCCCTGATACAAAACCTTTGGACTTGAGCCAAATAAAGGGAGAGGAACTGTTCAGCTAACATTTATAAACCGAAAGGCACAGTCTATAGCAGTGGTTCTCAACCTTTTTAATGCCGTGACCCCCAACCGGTCGTAAGTCGAGGACTAAACCGGTCGTAAGTCGAGGACTAAACCAGTCGTAAGTCGAGGACTACTCAACCGGTCGTAAGTCGAGGACTTTCCCTGCCCGGGAGCGCCATGCATGCGTGGTTCCGCCCCCTGCGCCGGCCGAGGCGTAGCTGGCAAGCGGCAGAGACGGAGCAGGCTGACCACCAGCTGGCCCAGCTCAAGGGAGGTAAGGCACCTGCCGGAAAAGGGGAAAAAAATGGCGGACAGCCTTGCTTGGCAACCCCCGTGAAATGGTCGATCGACCCCAAATGGGGTCGCAACCCATAGGTTGAGAACCGCTGGTCTATAGCATCTTAACATTAGTATTGCCTATGCAAATGAATCGTATGATTCATTTTCGGTAAATGAAGCAGAATGTATTAAGCTGAATAGTTTGCAAGGATACAACTAAATATTGAAGTTAGCATCTGCCTGCTCATTGCTTTTTCCTGCAAGATATGATACAATGAAGATAATATTTTATAAAAAGAATCTTTTGCAGAAAAATAAATAGTTGGGATTTCTTAATTTGTTAACCAGAATTAGCCAGTAATATCATATATGTCTGTGGGTATATTCTGTGTCTGTTTACACTGCTTTGATACTAAAACCAAGAAAAATGTTCCTTATGTTCAGAATATAGTTTCATTTACTGATAATACAATTTGTGTATACATAATTACCTAGATAAATCAATCTGTATCTTTCCCTTTTTTGCTCATATTCCCTATCTTGAATTTATTATTTACATTTTAGCGATTAAGTGACCAATTATAAAATATTTTGCATATTTGGATGAAATTTTGTTTACTTATTCAACAAATTTATGTGGCAGCCTGTTTAAGCAGCAAAACTACGTTTTCCCAATATAGTTCAGCTGTTGATTGTTAAAGTCAATTTCAACAATTGCTTCTAAATAATTCTCCCTGTTATTTGTTATAGGTCATCTAAAACTAAATAAATGAATCCCAAAATATAATTGTTTTATAAGATAAATATTTTATGAGGATGTTTTCTGATAGTCATAAGTTTAATGTTAGATTAATCCAGTGTTGATATTATAGAGTGAAGGTCTTTATAGAAATGATGCTATATAGTATTTCATGTGGAATAGAACATTTATTTTGCCTTTTCTTTCTAACTACAATCTTAATTAACTAGTAAGTGTAAGGCAAAATTGGCCTTTCTCCAGATTTATTTCTTTTTGTTTGAACATTTATCATAAGTTTACCTTAAAATAACTGTATGATGATGTGGTCAGAATATTGTCTAAACCAAATATGGATGCTCAGAATTTAGATGGATTTTAATTGGATTTGGTAGCCCATTCATTATCATATCCTATGGTATTCTCTCCCACGCTCCCTCCCTTCCTCCTGTCTGTCTATCCCTCCCTCTCTCCCCTATCCACCTAGCCAGCCACCTACCTATCTGGATTTTTTGTGGTTTAAATAGGTTCTCTGTTCAAGCTGATGTAGAGACAGCAAATAGCAATTCATGTTAGCTTAATTCCTGCTGTATTGAAATGTACAGTTATTCTGAACTATTTTAAGAAGTGTTAGTTTTGAAACCACACACTATGCTAAAACCAAGCAGCCTGTTTCTGTGTATTTCAGGAATACAGAAAAGGAAAATTACTACTTTCAGGACTTTTTCAAATACCTTTCCTGAAGTAGTAAAATGTTCATGCTCCAACTGTAGTATTTCCATTTCATGTTATGTACTGGTTTTTTGTCTGTTCATGTGCTTAGTTTTTATCATGTCCAAATCTCATACAAAAACATAGAAATTAATTTTTTTCTCTCTATTAAACTTATTTTTTGTCGCCTGAAAATTTAAAAAAATGTAAAATATCTCAACTTGAAGTCATGGTTTTCTTGATTGCATCCTTGAATATCTTACTACTCTACTTTGCCTATTTTTCATCCTTATTGTTCTTATTCTATTCCTTTCACTGCCTTCACCTTACTGTCTTCTATTTTCCTTTCTTTCCTTCTTATAGGCTCTGATGTTCTTTACATTGGCCCAGTAAAAGGTGAGCCTTGTGTGGATAGGACTTTTCTCTCCTGTCTTTTCTGCTTCCTGTTCCTCTAAACCAGGAGTAGGCAACCTTGGCTCTTTTATGACTCATGCTGGCTCAGGAATTCTGGGAGTTGAAGTCCACGAGTCATAAAAGAGCCAAGGTTGCTTACCCCTGCTCTGAACTATATGAATCTGAAAACCAAGGAACTTCTTGGTTATATTTTGACCATATGGTGTCCCACAATTTCTCTAGGTAGTCGTTATAAAATATGTGATTTAGGTTCTGGATTTTTTTTCTAATTGAGAAAACAGTTAATATATATCGAGTGCTATTGAAATAACACAATATTTTAACATTCTATCAGAAACAGTATTGGAAATACAAATTATTCATATTTTATACTTCATATATATAGTGTAGCTAGGAAGCAAAGTTACAGATTTGCCTATTTTGACTGGAAAAAATGCCGCTTAACTGAAAATAGAGCCTAGAGACTTCCATCATTGTATAGCAATAAATGAATGCAATATATAAATATAAAATGGAGAGCCAAGTACATAACAAAACAACCAAAAGGGGGTTCTCACTCAGTTGGCCACTAGTGCTGGAGGGAAGAGCCAAGTCTTAATGGCTTTCCTAAAGGCGAGAGAAGAGTTGGAGCCTGAGTACTGTATATTTGAGGCAGGGGTATCTTTCTAGAGCAGTCACTGAATTTACAATATTTATAATCTATCCTGAATTTTGAGGGCCCAGAGCCACTAATAAGAACCAAAGTACAGCCTTGTTTTAAAGCCATCTAAAAAGCATCTTCTAATTGTAGCTTTCTAAATTAAATTATATGTATGCTGTTTGGAGAACTTCTTTGTTGTCCTGAATATCCTACCATTCAGCTTCACTAAATGACCTAGGTTCTCTTGTTACAAAAAACAGAATGGGTGGGATTTTGTCTTATCACATACATAATTTTTTAATATCTTAATCTCACAGGTGACTATTCCATCTTTCTGTAACACTTTCCAAAACATCATGTGGTCACAGTTTAAATTCAACCTTCTGGACACCATATGGACCTTATACTCACATGTTCATGTATAACTGACATGCATTGTAGAAATCCCTTCTTATTTCTGCAGCATTCAGTAAAAAAAATGAGTTCTGGAGTTATTGGTATTGTAGGTTTCTTCTGAATTCAGTGGACTAAGTATGGAATACTAATTTGATTCTTCCTATCTTTCTCCAATTTAGGGAATGTATATTCAAGTCCAGGGCTTTATAGCAAAACCATGACACCAACTTACGATTCTCATGATGGGAGTCCTTTATCACCAACTTCAGCTTGGTTTGGAGACAGTGCTTTATCAGAAGGAAATCCAGGTATACTTGCCGTCAGCCAGCCAATCACCTCCCCAGAAATCTTAGCCAAAATGTATAAGCCACAATCACTTCTGGATAAAGCCAAGATCAACCAGGGGTAGGTTTAAAAATATTAGTTTTGGAGCTTGTTTGTGTGAAAACATTGCTTTGTAATGACTGAGCTAGTATTTTTTTTTCCTCTTTTGGAAGATGGCTTGATTCTTCAAGATCACTTATGGAACAAGATGTGAAAGAAAATGAAGCTTTACTACTGCGGTTCAAATATTACAGCTTTTTTGATTTGAATCCTAAGGTATACACTTATGTTAACTATCATATAGTCAGGATTTTCAGTGCATGTACATGGGTTAGTGACTTTGTGATCAGTATAGAATTTTTTTACCGAATTGCTAGGAAATTGTTGGATTATAACCCATAAAAAGCAAGATAAAGGCCAGTGAAGCAAATAATTTAATAATAACAGAATAACGTAGAGAAGTATTTAAGGGACAAAATCATAATCAGTATGCTAACACTAATTTCCAAATCGTATTTTAAAAGCTATGATTTTATTTGATATCAGAAGATCCATATTTTTAGTAATATTGTGGCCTCCAGGATTAGGATATTCCAAAGCCACAGCAAGGCCCTCTTCCACATCTCCATGTAATAAAGGTAGTCCTCAATTTATGACCATAGCTGAGACCAGAATTTCTATTAATAAATAAGGCATGTGTCATGGGTAAGGTACATCCTTGGGAATAATCCTCAAGTAATGGGATACCAAACTGGTAAAAGCTTTAAATGTTATTAGTAAAGCCTTGAATTGACCTATAGGCAGGCAACAAGAACAATTATTTCAGAACTAAATTTGTGTGGTTTTTTTTTCTTTTTAAGTCTATTCTGAATGTGTTTTGCTGATGTATTCTGTACTAATTGTACTCCTAAAATCTTCCAAAAGCAATTTTGTGCAGAATGTGTTGTGGTAATCTAAAGAAGATGACATCTGTTATGGATTATTGTGATTAGGTGTTTCTGTGCCTTGAAGGGTTACAAGCCTCAGACTGGGCATGCATTAATGCATTTCACTGAGGCCTTGAATGACAAACACACATTTAAGAGTGTGTGTGGCAAAGCTCCACACTGTGCTCCTTCAGGGAGAGTGCAACCAGTGATGGGATTCAGCCAGTTCGCACCACTTCAGCAGAACCGGTAGCTAATTTTTTGTTGCCCAGGCCCAGAATGGACCTCCAGAAGTGGCATCCACACAGAGGTTGTTCACATATTTGAATCCCACCACTGAGTGCAACCCTTATTTGGAGTGAGAGACTACCCCATCCTAAAAGTTGGGAGTACCATTTAAAAGGCAGCATTAAGGCAAAGGTTAATTTTGCATCAACTAGGAAAAAGAAGATTGGGAAAGAGATAATTTCAGCATACTGTATTTGGAATAGATAGCTTATTTAAATTATAGCAGAGGGAAGGAAATTTTCTGTTGGAGCACTGCATCTTCTGACCTTAAATGGCCTGTTGTGTTTCAGAGTGGCATAGCATTTGATCAGCAAGCAAAAAGGAAAATTTTGAAAAAGATTTATTGAATTTTGGGGGGAGATTTCTGGTTATAAAAACTGCACACTGTCCATAAGGTGGGTTATGAATCGATGATTTGGTTATGTCTCCATAGTATGATGCAATCAGAATAAATCAGCTATATGAACAATCAAAATGGGCTATTCTTTTGGAAGAAATCGAGTGCACAGAAGAGGAAATGATGATGTTTGCAGCACTGCAGGTGAGTGTGGGCCCTGAAGACCCAGAGCTCTTTAAGTCTTAGATTTTGCCTTTCAAAGAATCCTTAGCAAAGGCTGAAATCCTTGATGTACTAAGTTTCGTATATTGCATGTATTCTTTTTCTGAATTAGAACATTTTGTCCCAACAAATATTGCTCTGTTTTCTGTAAGGTTTGCTTGAACCTTTTTTGGGAATCTAAAATAGATTTGCCTCTTTTTAATGTCTCATGCAAAGGAATTTGGGTTCTTTTTTCACAAACATGTTTGTATCT